CAAATACCAGTCAATATTGGTACAAAACCTCCAGGCTTCTGCTAGAAAGCTGAACATGAAGAAGAAAGATTAATCTTTCAGCATGACAACGACCCAAAGCATACATCAAAATCAAAAAAGGAATGGCTTCACCAGAAGAAGATGAACGTTTTGGAATGGCCCAGCCAGAGCCTAGACCTAAATCCTATGGGAAATCTGTGGGGTGATCTGAAGAGGGCTGTGCACAGGAGATGCCCTCGCAATCTGACAGATTTTGAGTGTTTTTGCAAGGAAGAGCGGGCAAATATTGCCAAGTCAAGATGTGCCATGCAGACAGACTCATCCCCAAGAAGACTGAGTGCTGGAATCACATCAAAAGGGGGCTTCAACAAAGTATTAGTTTAAGGGTGTGCTCACTTATGCAACCATATTATTTCAGTTTTTTGTTTACTTCCCCCCCTAAAAGATTTCAGCTTGTTTTCCAATTGAGTTGTACAGTTTATAGGTCACCTTAAAGGTGGAAAAAGTTCTGAAATGATTTATCTTTGTCTCGTTTTTTTTACATCACAGAAACCTGACATTTTAACAGGGGGGTGTGTAGACTTTTTATATCCAATGTGTGAATATATATATATATATATATATATATATATATATATATATATATATGTTACCATTTTCCATTTTATTTGAATATCAATACAGAACACATAATAGCATCTAGTGTCTAAAGCCTAGTACACACGATCGTACGATAATCTGACCGATAATATTGTAGTGCACAGCTTTCACCCAAAATTATTTGAAGGGACAAGCACAAACATTTTTCTGTATGATGCCAGATCATACGATTTTCATTTAACCAGTACAGTTTTCGTCCAAAAATACAATACAAATATATTACATCACTTTCAAATTTTCTTTCTGTCGTACAAGAATTTTTCGTAACCTCTTCACTTTCGATATGAGACTAGCAGAAAAAAAAGGTTGATAATTCGTCCAATACTCTCATTTGTGTGTACGGGGCTTAAGAAGCCATTTTGCCTTGCTTTACACTTGTCCGTGGAGGAAGGGTCTGATCAGGGTGTCCAGGCCAGAGTGGCATGGAGACATACATGACAAATGGAGTTTTTTGGCTCAGTATTTTCTTTTCAAAGTAGAGGGAGGAGTAGGCTGGCCTGGCAGAAGTTGAAAATGTTTCAAGCAACCCAAATGCCAGTTGAAAGCATGCAGTTAACAATCTGTGAAGAAATTTACGTGGTCTACAGACAGCAATCAGCCGTACAATTTTTTTTTACAATATGTCGGACCCTAGTTCAGATTTTGTGCCTCTGTTTTGTGGCTTTGAGTTGAAGGATATCACCCAAATATGAATCTGGACCATCATGAATGGAAAAACCAACAGTCTTGACTGCCATGGAAATAAATAAAACATGCAAAAAGGAAGAGTGTAGGTGTTATCTCAAAGATATACTAAGCTGGTATCAATGTGCTGAAACAGGCAGTGAGACCAAAAAGAGGAAATAAGGGAGTTATCTTTGCTAAATATAGAGGAATTTAAAGCTGAACTCTAAGCAGACACATAAAATGCCAGTTAAAACAGATGTGTAATTTTTTTTCTTTTAGCAAATGCATTTTTCTATAAACCTGCAATCAGTACCAAAACCTTCGAGTCTTAAAGCCGTATTAAACCCAAACATTTATTATATTATTATACCAATTCCTAGATGTGATGGCTGCATTTGTTTCCTTTGTATGCTTTCGCTCTTATATTTTCTTTCTTCTATTTTCATCGGGTGATTCAGCCAGTAAGAACCATGTACTAATGAAGATGTGCTTACAATGATTAGCTTTTATTTATTTATGTAAAACCTTTATTCCAAAAGGAAAAACTGTTGCTGTAACTGCTAAAAAAAAAAAGTGTAAGCTTGAATTTTCAAATTGTTAATTTATTTAAATCTGCTAGTAAATCTAACACTCTCCTCTCCAAACTGACAATACTGCTGTCGAAGTGTGCCCTTGTGACCCTTCATCCAGAGCAGGGGGTGCTCTAATACAGGAATTAGCTGTCACTTTCCCTGGAGCTAAAGGATACTTTGTTTATTTTATCTCGGAAAACAAACTAAAAGGAAAAATTGTTTCTTTCAAACTCAGAGAAATAAACTAAAAGGAAACATTGTTTCTTTCAACTCAGAGAAATAAACTAAAAGGAAATGTTCTTTCTTTTAGCTGGGGGGAAAGTGACAGCTGATTCTCTGAGCTATAGTGAAGAAAAAAAAAAAGGCCGGTAATTACATTCAAAAACCGGCACTGACCTATAATGACAGTGACTTTTTTAAAACTTTTTCTGACCTCTGGAATGGATTAATTGGTTTTCAATGCATTCCTATGGAAAACCACACTTCGGTTTATGAATTTTTCACAATATGAAACGTCCCAGAAAACGCATTAAATTCATAAAGAGAGGTACACCTGTAAATAAATTTTTGGGCTTGAGTTTAATACAGCTTTAATTTAGGCTTTCTGTTATTTACTGTACAATAGCATTCAAACTGTAGATAGGAGTGGCAGCAGTTTATCTCTGTTGCACATCTCATGCACATGTGCCAACTGGGATCAAGCTGGAGAGAAGGAGAAAGCACAGCTCATAACTTATGGTGTGCCGCTGCTCCTAGAGTCACTCAGCAAACAGGACATGACACAAGGGGCGTATTTGCCAAGAAGCGAGCAAGGCATTTGCCTTAGGTGTTATTTTTCAAGGGGGCGGCACCGCCCCCCAGAAGAAGGGATGCTGGTTCTCCTGAACACCGTGGTTAGGCAGCACAGTGGAGTGAGGGTGCCGTCCCCCGGAAGAAGGGATGCTGGTTCTCCTGGGCACCGTGGTTAGGCAGCACAGTGGAGTGAGGGGAGCGCAGCTCCCCCAGAAGAAGGGATGCTGGTTCTCCGGGCACTGTGGTTAGGCAGGACAGTCAGCGCAGCCCCCTGGAAGAAAGGATGCTGGTTATCCTGGGCACCGTAGTTAAGGCAGCACAGTGGAGTGAGGGGAGCGGCCCCCCAGAAGAAGAGATGCTGATTCTCCTGGGCACCGTAGTTAGGCAGCACAGTGGAGTGAGGGGAGTGCAAGGCCCCCCCCCAAGAAGGGATGTTCTCCTGGGCACCGTAGTTTTCCGGTTTTCCTGGGCACCATGGCTGGGCAGCAGAGCGGAGTGATGGGAGCTGTGGGAGCAGCCATGAGACTCCGGGAAAGGGAGCCACTGTGATGGTGAGTCTCTCTCCAGGGGAGTCTATGCAGGGGCTGTGGTGTGTGGGGGGGGGGGGGGAGGGGGGAGAGGGTCACAGGTGGGGATGGCTGGTGGACAGCGGAGGCTGGGGGTTTAGTATCAATACAGAGCTCTAAATACACTCCTGCGTGACATCACTATATTCCTTTACAATAATACAGTAAGCACTGTCACTCTTCTGGCTGTCCTGTCTGGCAGAGTTATACGAATCTTAATACTGACTGGACAGAATACAAAAATCCTTTTGGCAGAGAAGACTGAATTTTTTTTTCAACTGTGTATTTTGCGGCTTGTCAGAAGGTCAGCTTAAAGGTGGCACCTTCCAGAAAACTGAACCGGAGATTCAAAAAACCAATTCCTGGTTAAGACAAGTGATTAGCCATTTAATTACAGTACAAGACATCTTCCAGACATAGCTCAATGTCCTGCACTTCCAGATCAGAGGCACAAGTACTCCAGACACTTAAAACTTAATTCCAACTAAATAAACACCTGTCAGCTTGTTCTTTGCCAACACACACCTAAAAGGCTCCTTGTGCTCCCCTCCCTCTCTGAGTCTGAGTGCTGCTGTCCAGGGACTGCAAGAGACCATGTCAGAGAAACATAGGTACTAAGGCCGGCCATACATGGCTTGATTACTCTTGTTCAGCCCCAAGGACTCCCCCGCTGGAATGTACCCCCCCCCCCCCCAACTATGAAAGGCATGTGGCCTGATTTGGTTCAGGGAGAAGGTGGTACATTTTTCTGCCCTCCCTTTCCTGGCCACCAAGCATTTTTTTATTGTCACTTTTAAAGACTATGTCCTATTAGTCCCTAACACCATGGCAGCTTTAAGACATCTCCCAAGCATACTATTTCAAATGATTTGCATATTTTTCTGCAATGTTGCCCTTTACGCTGCAAGAAAAGATCCTCTTTTTCCTGGAACTGAATGAATACAAAAATGTATTTGCATTGATACTTGTCCCCCATGGCTAATGCACAGCTACCCATGCACTTTTTCAGCAATATCAGCCACAAAAAAGGCCAGAAAATATAGTCTCTTTCACCTTCCATAGATTTGTGACAGTGGAGTTTAATTCTAAGTTTGGGGTTCACAGAATTGCTGCTGGGTATGGCAAATCCTGCTCACACTGAACTCGGAGAGTTGTGCTCACATCCCTATTCATATGCTTTACAGCTTTCTTTTTTCAAAAGTTAAAAAAAAAGTATTGCTGTAACTACTCGGTGACTTTTAGCTGGAGTTCAATTCTTTTGTTGCTTGTTCAAAGTGTAACTATGCGGAAAAAAATAAAAAATGTACATATATGATGTCATCGGTCACTAGCATTAAAGTGTATGTAAACTTTAATCATAAACCTCTCCTAACTGCTCCTTTTTGATATGTTAAATATTCCATTGGAAACATGTTATTATATCTGCAAAAAATAGTTGTTGGTCATGTCAAAAATTCAGAGCTGTCCTGTGTCCTCTGCACACTTCCTATGTTATCTCACAGAACCCTCCTTAGTTGTTATCTTGGACTACAGAATGACTTTATATTGTAGGGATCTGAGAGTGAGAGTGGTTACGAGGTTTAGCGAAAGACACTGGGCAGGGCTGACACCTGTCAGTCCACGAAAATTCTGTGTGTTGTCAGCCTGCAACAGTGCATTTCAGGCTGATCAACAGGTCAAGAATTTTTACTGTACTTTCAGGGTTTTTAACACCTTCACATGATGTCCTCCCCAAAACACGCCTCGCGTGCACCCTTGAACCGAGCTGCCATCTGTCAACCACTGTGTCCACTGTAAGTGGCACCATGTAATTGCTGTGACCAATCACAGCAGATCACATGACAAATGTAAACAATGGATGGAGTCCATTCATGTCATCCATTGTGTACAATTGTGTTGATCTCTGTGATCGGTCAACGTGATCACATGGTACAGACAGGGCCAATCACAGCCTATCTCTACTATGTGATTAGCTGTGGCCAATCACAGCTAATCACAATAGTAAACACTGAATAAATGGATTTCATTAAAAAAATGGTTGAAATCCACTGTTATAAGCAATCATAGTGTGTAAAAAAAAACCCACCGGCTTGGGGACGATCCTACTTATCCCCAGCCGCAACCCAGCGGCTTGGGGCCGCAACCCACCGGCTTGGGGACATTCCTACTTTTCCCCAGCCGCAACCCACCGGCTCAGGGACGATCCTATTTATCCCCAGCCGCAACCCATTGGCTTGGGGACAATCCTACTTCTCCCCAGCTGCAACACACCGCCTCAGGGACAATCCTATTTATCCCCAGCCGCAACCCATCGGCTTGGGGACAATCCTACTTCTCCCCAACCACAACACACCGGCTCAGAGATAACCCTACTTATCAGCACTGACCACCATTTTAACTATTCCGAGTTAACCCCTTGTTAACCGGAATGTACCGAGGTCCCCATACCACAGATGGATCCCGAACCATTCTACATACAAAATTCTTTCCTCCTCCAAAGACCAACCACCGCCAAGGCTGCCATGACAATCAGAGCCCAAGCACAAAGGGGAGGGAGGGTGGGAAGCTTCTCCTTCTGCAGAAATTTTTGACTGGACTTCCTGGTATCAGACTCTCCCCTACCTTCCTGTGACCCCTCCCAGCAAACAACCCTCCAATCAGGTATATCGCAACTATCCTAACTTCCTACACTTCTTTAACCATTATAGGTTGTCCCTCTATTCACCCCGTCATGTCGTACCTGAGATTTTTTTTTTTTTGCTCCGGGCCTACCTGAACAAAAACAGAATGCCTGTGACCTCAATAGGAAAATCTCCCGGGTAGATAATAAGAAGTGGAAAACCCCATTAAATATTTATCCATGATCGTTTCTCTTAGTCCTCATGCACAAGGGATGTTTTTACAGCGGCTGTTTTTGGCTTTTGACATTTTTTTCTACAGCCAGTAAACCCCCAGCATGTTATCCTATGTGTCCATGCACACATAGACTGGAATCAATGTTTTTTGGCAGGGACGTTTTCTGGCTGGGAAAAAAACCCAGAACTAGTGGGATTCTACAGGAGTTTTTTAGCTGTAAAAATGTTCTTCTAACGCTGAAAAACACAGCAAAATGTGGTAAAACTCGGTAAAACGCCGCAAACCAGCGTTTTTGGACTTCTTTTTTTTACCAAAAAAAAATTTTTTTGTAAGAAAAAAGCTAAAAACCGCAAACACAGAAAAACGTGGAAAAATGCCGCTAAACGCGGCAAACCGCTAATGCAAAAACGCTAAAAAAAGCTGAAAAACTAATTTTTAACATGACTTTACACAGCTAATGTTACCAGTGTTATCAAAACACCCCGTGTGCATGGAGACTTACAGACGAGCATCATTGTGAATGTGAAATAGGGAAAAAGGACAAAAATGAGATCCAATTACAGTGTGGGGAGAAGGGGTTAATTAGGAAGATCTGGAGCTGAGAATGCAATTTGCATGAACTGTACTTTTATACTTGAGGATAGAGTGGAAAAATAACCCTTTTGTATAGAAGAGAAAGCCTCTGCATCAGAGGAAGAGAATACTACTGTTAAACACTATAATTTACAACACTTCCAAAAGGCTATCAATTACCAGAAAAAGTGTAAAAAAAAAACAAAAAAAAGAAGAAAAACTAAATTCCTTCAATAACATATTCAGAGCGACAGTATATAGTGTCAGTATTAAAACAATAAGGATCCTGTATAATAGGATATCTATAATTTGACTTGTGCTGACAATTTAAAGCTGCACACCCAGAAAGCAGTACACACACAGGTACTGCATGGATGTGTGATTCTCGATAGGAGGTTTATGCCCCTAAAGGTGAGAAACTGGTGTCAGCAGAGGCGTCCAGATTCTGTTCAGCCAGTCTTGTGATCCCAGAGGTAGGTTATTGAACTCAGCCTGCCTAAGACCACACCCCCACTGTGTGATTGGACAGCGAAGGAACAGCAGAACACCGCTGATATTGTCTTCCTCCACTCGTGCCACTTTGTTCTGCAATTTGCTTTCTCTTAGTATATGTGCATGCAGCAGAGCCTGATTGGCTGTTCATGCTAACGCTCTCTCTCTTTCTTGAGTGCTGCTGGGCAGGAGATTATAAAAGACCGATATAAAGACTGATTTAGATATGTGGGCTAGCATTCAAAAACATATTTATTTATTTTTAGGGGTTTTTCATTTTATTTGTTTCATAGTTTTAAATCTCCTAGATTGTAAGCTCTCATGATCAGGGCCCTCTGATTCCTCTTGTACCAAATTGTATTGTAACTGTAATGTCTACCTTCATTTTGGAAAGCGCTGAGCAAACTGTTGGCGCTATATAAATCCTGAATAATAATATAATAATAATATATCTGCCTGTCACTCATAAGATGAATATAAAAGTGTGGGCACACCCAGGAACATTCATTTTGAAAAAAGTGCTTTTCTTATAAAATTTTGCAAATAAATAATATTTCATCATAAATCTTGGCCAAAATGTATTCCGTTATCTTTTTAGTAAAAAAAAAAAAAATACGCCAAATTAGTTTATAACCAAAAATTATAATTTTTTTACATTTTTTTTTTATATTATTATTTATGTTTTTTTTTTTTTTTACATACCGTCACCCTAGCAGTACAGTGTCACCATGGTGACACTGTACTACTTCTGGGGGGTGATGAAGATTTTTTTTTTTTTTTTACAGTGGTTGCTTTTACACCCATATAGGATGTAAAAGCAATCATTTCTCTCTGTCTGCATTCTTGCAGCCATTGAGAAATACTGTGTGAGCTGTGATTGGTCAGAGCCTTGTACCATGTGACCTCTGTGATCATTCACAGATTTCACACGTAGCAAGCAATGATGTCACAAGTGACATCTTGCTTACTACTTTGCATGTGATCACTGATTGGCCAATCAGTGATCACATGATCGGGACCTCGTACAGAGGTCCCATCCAACGATCGGTGCTTCACTGTGTCCGGAGGACACAGCGGGCACTGGATCGCGGTGGTGCGCGCTCCCAGGGAGCGCGCACAACTAGCAATAGCGGGTGCCGTTTATGAACGGCAACCCGCCCCTGGAGTGCCACCGCCCTGCCGTTTAAAAACAGCAGGCGGACGGCAAGTGGTTAATGGACTCTTATGGTGAAATAAGAGTCTTTCACACTTTTGGTGGGGCATAGGAAGTCATGCTGGAGCTTGTAGTCTCTGAAGACGCCCAGTGGGAGGGGCGAAATGCATCACCCACATGAAAGAATTTTTTTTTATTTTTTAACCACTTCAAGTCCGGACACTTTCACCCCCTTCCTGCCCAGCAGAGCCTGATTGGCTGTTCATGCTAACGCTCTATCTCTTTCTTCAGTGCTGCTGGGCAGGAGATTATAAAAGACTGATATAAAGACTGATTTAGATATGTGGGCTGGCATTCAAAAACATATTTATTTAGTTTTAGGGGTTTTTCATTTTATTTGTTTCATAGTTTTAAATCTCCTAGATTGTAAGCTCTCATGATCAGGGCCCTCTGATTCCTCTTGTACCAAATTGTATTGTAACTGTGATATCTGCCTTCATTTTGTAAAGCGCTGAGCAAACTGTTGGCGCTATATAAATCCTGAATAATAATAATAAATAATAATAATATATCTGCCTGTCACTCATAAGGTGAATATAAAAGTGTGGGCACACCCAGGAACATTCATTTTAAAAAAAAGTGCTTTTCTTATAAAATTTTGCAAATAAATAATATTTCATCATAAATCTTGGCCAAAATGTATTCCGTTATCTTTTTAGTAAAAAAAAAAAAATACGCCAAATTAGTTTATAACCAAAAATTATAATTTTTTTACACTTTTTTTTTTTTATATTATTATTTATGTTTTTTTTTTTTTTTACATACCGTCACCCTAGCAGTACAGTGTCACCATGGTGACACTGTACTACTTCTGGGGGGTGATGAAGATTTTTTTTTTTTTTTTACAGTGGTTGCTTTTACACCCATATAGGATGTAAAAGCAATCCAATAACATTCCTGAAATTTGTGTAGATGGCAAATGCTGAACTTGGCAAAAATATAATGGTGAATATTATTAAAAAAAACACAAGGCAGTAGGTCTTCAGCCTTTGGGATAGATTTAATAAAGGCAAACAGACTGTGCACTTTGCAAGTGCACGTGCTCTAGAGCTTAGTAAATGAGGTGACGCTTCACTTTGCAAAGAATACCCAATCACATGTAAGTGAAAAAAAACAACAACATTTTTGCTTGCGCATGATTGGATGATGGAAGTCAGCAGAGCTTCCGCTCATTTACTAACCTCTGGAGCAACTGTGCTAGCAAAGCGCATAGTCTATTTGCCTTTAGTAAATCCACCCCATGTGTCCGCCCTTTAAACCACTTCCTGTCCGGACACTTTTACCCTCTTCCTGTCCAGGGCAATTTTCAGCTTTCAGCGCTATCACACTTTGAATGACAATTGTGCGGTCATGCAACGCTGTACCCAAATTAATTTTTTACCATTTTTTTGAGACAGATAAAGCTTTATTTTGGTGGTATTTATTCACCGCTGGGATTTTTATTTTTTTTTGCTATGTAAATAAAAATGTCCAAAAATTTTGAAAAAAAGGGTTTTTTTTATAAAATTTTGCAAATAAATAATATTTCATCATAAATCTTTGCCAAAATTTATTCCGTTATCTTTTTAGTAAAAAAAAAAGTCCAAATTAGTTTATAACCAAAAATTATAATTTTTAAACTTTTTTTTTACTTTTTTATTTTTTTTTTTTTAGATTCTTTTTTTTATTTTTTTTTTACATACTGTCACCCTAGCAGTACAGTGTCACCATGGTGACACTGTACTACTTGTGGGGGGTGATGAAGATTTTTCTGAATTTTTTTTTTTTACACTGATTGCTTTTACACCCATATAGGATGTAAAAGCAATCATTTCTCTTCCTCTCTGTCTGCATTCTTGCACTCATTGAGAAGTACTGAGTGAGCTGTGATTGGTAACAGCTTGGCACATGGTACAACGCTGTTGTGAATCGCCTTGTACCATGTGACCTCTGTGATCATTCACAGATTTCACACGTAGTAAGCAATGATGTCACAAGTGACATCTTGCTTACTACTTTGCATGTGATCACTGATTGGCCAATCAGTGATCACATGATCGGGATGTCCCATCAGAGGTCCCGTCCGACGATCAGTGTTTCACTGTGTCCGGAGGACACAGCGGGCACCAGATCGCGGTGCTGTGCGCTCCCAGGTAGCGCGCACAAGCAGGGTGCGGGGAGGCCGTTTATAAACGGCCACCCGACCCTGCACTGCCACCGTCTGGCTGTTTATATGCAACGGCCAATCGGGAAGTGGTTAATAAATAGACCATCTATAAGTATTGCAACGTGAAGCAGAGGTAGGAAATTTGAATTGCAAACTATATTTATTTACTTTCTCTATCTATAAAATGTGTATGCATATATCTGTACAATTGTATCTGACTCCCAGAAATTTAATGGGCCAGAGATGGGCACCATGTCTGATACGCGTTTCAAAAGATGTTTCTTGGCAAACATATTCAGCCCAGATTCTGTTCAGCCAGTCTTGTGATCAAGGTAGAATGATAGATAATGATCACCTGACACACCCATCAATAGTGCACACTGAATATTAAATAAAAAGTGAGCTGCTGCTCCAATAAAAGGTACAACCTTATCAACAAAATACACAAAATAGCAGGAGCTCTGCCTGTATGTTATACGACATGAAAAGCATGCTTCAATAACAAACATATAACAATACGTTGTGAAATAAATTCCTAAATGTGAAATCAAGTCAACAAAAATCCCTTAATTTCTTTCATGTGGGTGATGCATTTCGCCCCTCCCACTGGGCGTCCTCAGAGACTACAAGCTCCAGCATGACTTCCTATGCCCCACCAAAAGCATGAAAGACTCTTATTTCAGAGTCCATTAAAGTTGGTGAGTGAGGGGTGAGTGAGGGGGCACACAGGCGGGGAGCACAGAGCACTTACCACCTTTTGGATGTGAAAGGGATTTTTGATGAGAAGGAACGGTGGGTGTCCGTGTGAAAGGGCCTACAGCCAAGTCCAGGATGGGCATAAACTTAGCTCTCACCTCTTCCAACACTTATTTTTCACCTAACCTTTATCCAGCTGTATTCTTGTCAGTTGTCTGGTGCCCTGGGTCCTATTCTTCCCTCCGGTGGTGGATAGTCCTTACTCCTGTACCAATGTCCATGCGAGAGCTGTTTTGTACTGAAGCACTTTGAGCCCAGAGTAGCATCATCAGCACCGCCAAAATCCGCACGTTCTTAACCCCAGAAACCACTAAACAGCTCATCCACTCCCTCATCATATCACGACTCGATAACTGCAACTCCCTCCTCACTGGCCTGCCTCGCTGCTGGCTATCCCCGCTTCAGTCGATCCTGAATACGGCTGCCAGACTCATTCACCTTTCCAACCGCTCCGTCTCCGCCACCCCCCTCTGCCAATCCCTCCACTTGCTTCCGATTGCACAACGGATCAAATTCAAAATCCTAACACTGACGTACAAAGCTGTCCACCATACTGCCCCGAACTACATCACTGACCTAATATCCAAGTACCGCCCAGCACGCACACTCCCCTCCTCACAAGACCTCCTTCTCTCTAGTTCCCTGGTCTCCTCCTCCCATGCCCGCCTCCAGGACTTCTCCAGGGTGTCACCCATCCTCTGGAACTCCCTGCCCCAACCCATCAGATTATCACCTACTCTCCTCTCCTTTAGGCGCACCCTGAAAACCCATCTCTTCAGGGAAGCCTACCCCACCCCCTGCTAACTTGCTGACCTCCTCCACTCTTCCTACCACTCCATCCCCCACAGCTATCTCCTCCTGTACCACCATCCCCTCCCTCCTAGATTGTAAGCTCGAAAGAGCAGGGCCCTCGATCCCCTCATGTTTTGCATTGTATTGGTATTGTTCTGTCACATGTTCTGTCCCCCTTTGTAATGTACTGAGCGAACTATTGCTTTATAAATACTGTATAATAATAATCATGACGCAGTTCCAGATGGTGGAATCCATGACATCTTGGGATCACAGGAAGTGGGCTGAATGACACTGGTTGTCATGCATCCCGGAAGCAAACCAGCTTACTGCTGCTGGGCAATATATTCTTTATAATAAAGATGAGTTAAAGCGGAAGTTCAGCCAAAACGTGAATTTCCATTTTTCTGCCTCCTCCACTTCTCCACTAACACTTTTAGACACTATTTTTTCTGGGGGGGGAATCGCCCACTTCTGCTCAGATCACCTAGACTAGTGAAGAACCATAATCCATAATCCTGGACAGGTAAGTGTCCATATGTCCAAACAGTATTTGTAGCTGCTGGCTGTTAATATTTTGGGGGGCGGTACTGAAGATCCACTTTTACTTTTTAAATGAAGGCTGAATTTTTTTTTTTTTTAAATTAATGATTAAAGTGATGATAAAGTAATATAACAGTGTGCTATTTTATATTCCACAGCACGCATTTACAGACCTTTCACAGAGTGGTCCTGGATGATTGCTCACCACATCAGTCATCATGTGATACTATGATAAGAGATATGAAATGTGAAACTACAGAGATGAGACAGCCATCCAGAATCTGTAGGTGGACTGGTCTTCCGATTTCCAGCGCATGATGCATTTACCCAATATAACATCAACTCATTTATTCGGAAATGGAACATCTGTGTCAGCAGACTAATAGGAAAAGCCAGAGCACAAGACCTGCTGGTTAAAAGGGAATCTACAAATCTCTACATTTATAAAAAAAAAAAATTAAATAAAAAGCAAAAAAGTAACCAGTGCAATAAAAGCTTAAAATATATGCTCAGGAA